TCCGAAAGAACGTCATATAAAAAATGGTTTCAATTTATGACTTTCTCTTCTGGTGTACTGTTATTATGTTTAACAACATGTTTTTTCAGGTGATTGTTATTATCATTTTAACTATTTAAGCGCTTAAGAAGAAATCGCACTCATTATTTACACGCGCCTATCCTTTTTTAGCGAATATTTAACTCCTTACTTAAACTTGGAGTCATCACCACAGTGATCTGTAAAATGCGTCGAATTAATTACCATGATTAAAAATATTATAAAAAGTCTGTGAATTAGCACCAATTTCTCTTTGCGTGTATGCTTAATGGGTTGTTTTCTTAGAGTTCGAGGAAACTTTTACATTGAACCAAAGACTCATAAAACCAATCGTAGTTGTAAAATTCGATGTTCATGAAGAAAACCATTACACTGTTGAAAATAAAAATTGTATTTGCTATGTCAGAACTACAAAAATGGTAATGTGAATTTTAAAGAATCATTCTCGGATGTAAGTGTCCGGAAAATATTTTTTTCTGTATCGCCTTTCCTCCTTGCCATCATTATTTCCGATATAAGTAGAAACGAAATATTTCTTCCTTCCGAATTTTACATTCCTGCCTTTCTGAATTTTCGAATTGTCGTCAAACCCGACCTCAATTTCAACATCACCATTAACTCTAAACGCGTTCTTTTTTGTTTCTCCAGCACAACTATTCACACCGGAATTTTCTTCAATGTTGGTATAATTGATATCAGCAGGGTTATCATTATAGAATTCAAGTTTGGTTTGTAAGGAGGTTACTGGAGAAAAAACGAAAATAAAATCTATCGAACAAATGGCGAAAACTGCTGAAAGGAATAACTTCAAACCAAGAATTTTTGGCACGAACATCATTGATAAGCGAAGGGAAACCAACATTCCGCCTTATAATCTCTAGGAATTCTTTAAACATGATTAGGTGGTTTGTTACTTTATTTAACGAGTTTGAAAGATTATCATGAGAGATTGTAAATACAATCAGAAATTTAATAGGCTTTCTAGATAATTTATAATTTCTACATTAATCAGAGAATTCAAGCTTTTTTTATTATTTCGGCAGTTCACGCATCAATTAATCCGAGTAAATTGGTAATATTCGCCATTAACAAGTATCTTGAATACAAGTAAGAGCCCATATGTCAGTGCGCAAACTCCAATAAAAGCTAATGGTCCAAGTTTTTTGATTTCTTTCAGGAGCAGATTTCTTTCACTGTCGATTTCTTTAATAGAATTCGATAGTTCCTCGTTTTCTCGTTGTAATTTTACTTAAGAAAATGAATAGATCATTGGAAAATTAGAAAAAAAAAAATACAACACTCATTATACTGTACTAGGATGGACCTTCCTAACTTACGGATATCAGATTTTAGCTGACGAACTTCCATTCTATCAGGACTTTCATTTCGAGAACGAAAACCATTAGTCGATCGATTTGCGCCTGTCCGTTGGATGACGGAAGGATGGCGATCGCGTTCATTTGGTTCAAGTTGAGGTTTCATTTGCACTATTTCTTAGCAACTTAATTTTTTGCAAGCGATAAAAAAAAATAAAATTGATTGTGAAAATTGACAGCAAGTTTCTCATTATAAGTAACGCGTTTTTCTGAATTACTACATTACATCACCCACTGATACAATACGCGTACGCAGGTGTTGAACTCCGAGTTAAAATTCAACTGGGTTTGCTTATACATTTGTAGTAGTGACCATGTGCGCATTGCTCCAACAATTTTCACACAATACCTAAAATAAATCATGGGCAGGCTGTGAACAATGCGACGACAGCTAAAAATGGACCTGGGGAGATGTTCCATTGTTAATTCATTTAAATCGATTTTTTCTTCTTTTTTAGAAATCATCGAACAACATGACGCTCGTCAAAACAGAAAATTTTTATGGTCGAAAGACGAGCGTGCGTGGAATAGTGAATTGAATATTTGATTCACGTAATGGACGTATGCCTATTTAACGTTCGACCGTTATGCAATTGCTTATTAAAATTTCCTTCATACTCAAAAAAAGAAAGGTTATCTATATTTAACTCTTTCAATCGTTGTATCCTTTCAAAAAAAAGGAATAAGGTTGATTAGTTAACCATCTTAACCGTTGCACACTTATTTTGTGTTTACGTATGTACACGAGTACGAACCTAAGGAAGGAAAGTAATATACAGTATACATTTATTTCTTTTAAAATGCACTGCAACATAACCTTAAATTTGTACCGATACGTAATTAACAAACACTGTTTTATCATATGACCAGAGGCTGAATTTTTTTTTATACTAAAAACATATAATCTGCAAGCAATCCTTTATTACTCAATAAAGAAAGTTATTTAAACTTATTAAAGTTTCCAGAAATCAATAATCATCACATCGGATAATAATAAATAGATGCGTATTATTTTCATCGCAATTTTCACACGAAATTTGGATTAAATAAATACCTTTGTAGTAGACCACCCTGTTTCTTAGGATATTCACTGATTTCTATCCAAAATGTCCATAGCCCAAGTTGTCAAAGATATCAAGGGACGTCTTGATGGAAAAGTAGCAATCATCACCGGTGCTGGAAGGTACTAATTTAATGAATTTCAACTCCAATGCTTAAAGCTGCATTAGAATATTTCTAGGTTGTTTTCATTTCCTCCACCTTGAATACTTTTAATTCTTTACGTTTGGTGATTTTAGTGGTATTGGCTTCGAATCGGCCATCCTGTTTGCAAGAGAAGGCGCAATTGTGGTTGCTGCTGATGTCGACTTCCATGCTGCCGAGGCTGTGGTTGAAAGAATAAAGGAAAAATATCCATTACATGTTAGGAAACATACTCTCGCATGCAAGGTGGATGTTTCTATAGAAGAGGAAGTTAAGAAATTGGTTGACGTTACTTTGAAAGAATTTGGTAAATTTTATTCTTCATAATTACAATACTCGGTTAATCGAGCACCTAACCTATCTTATTTTTCAACGTCCACTCAGGCAAACTTGACATCATGTTTAATAACGCGGGAATAATGCATCCCGATGACGGTGATGCTCTAAGCACTGATGGAGCGGTCTGGTAAATTACGATTATTTCAGAAACTTGATTTTTCTCATTTTGCTTTTCTTTCTTCTTTGATATATATACTGTATATATATATTCTCTCTAAGGGATGCTACATTGAACACCAATCTAAAAGGTGTTTGGTTTGGATGTAAATATGCGATTGAAGCATTCCGAAGGAAACCTAACAATGCAGGTGGTGTTATCATTAACACCGCCAGTTTTGTCGGCCTCATGGGTTCGGCGACTCCGCAGCTAGCTTGTAAGTATCAATCATCATCTTAAGTTTTTAAATAAACGAGTTATTTTTATCATCTACAATACCGTTCTTGTAGACACTGCCTCGAAAGGTGCGGTCATTGCCATGAGGTATGCCAACGATACCTTAAGATTTTTTCTGTTGTTGATTAATGTGTCATTAACGAATCGTGTTTTTTTCTTTCTCCCTCACGAAAATGAAGCCGTGAGTTAGCCATTACCCACGCTCGAGAAAACATTCGTATCAATACTTTGTGCCCAGGACCAATTCGAACACCCTTACTAATGAATTATCTTGATACCGAAGAAAAGAAAGACCGCCGTCTTGTTCATCTACCAATTGGACGCTTCAGTAACGTTATCCCCTTATCTCTGAAGTAAATTTTTGACAAACCTTAAATGACACTATTATTTTCAATAAATTAGGCGAACCCGTTGAACAAGCACAAGCTGCTTTATTCTTGGCTTCAGATGACGCGTCTTATATCACAGGAACTGAATTTAAGGTTGACGGCGGTCTCACTGCTGCTTATGTGGTCAGTAATCGTTATTATGAGGTTTTTTTTAGACATCGGTTTTTGGTTCTTACCTCATTTTTCTCTAAATCAGACTCCGGAAGGTCCTTGTGTCAGTCTTCCACCAAAAAATTATTTCAAGCCCAAGTCATAACTAGTCTGAAAAGAATAGTTGTCGCTTTTTGATATATGTTTGGCATTTTTTTATCATGTAATTTTTGCATTGAAAATGAAAACTTCCGATGAAATGATGTAAATTAATAAAAGCGTGAAGTAAAGATATCTGTGTTTGTTTTGTTTTTTTAAAGAAAAGGCAAAGCCTTTGGTACATGCAATAAAAGTGATTAGTTATAAGAGAACAATAAGTATTAAATTATCAACTTAAAGTTAAAATTTGGTAAAGCTGTTGTCAAAAATTTATTCACTATTTTATATATATATACATAAATAAAAAAATTATTTGCTATTTTATTATTGAATAAAATAATTATACTGTATAATAATCAAAAATTAAAATCAATTATTTATATTACTTAAAAACCCATTTTCATTAACTAACTGTTAAGTACTTACAGTATATTATTATATATTTTAAAGAGCAATTAAATTGATTGATTAAAATACCTTTTATTTATTTATTTGTTATTTGATCAACTAGCTGGGCCTTGCTTAATATGCTAAATAGAACTTTATAGAAATTATTTTTTAATCTACATTATTTGCAATTGAATTAATTATTAAATTTTATTTTTTAAAGCTGCTTAAAAATATTTAAGAGATTTACATTATAATCTTTTTTTTTTTTTTTTTTTGGGTTTCCCCTCATAGGTAAGCATCATTTCTTTATTTGATATTGTATATACTGTAACATGGTATACATCGTGAAAGAAACAACATCTCTTACATACATATGTAGCAAGTTAAATGCTAGCCTGCCTACGT